ACGTTACTCTGTAGGAGGGTTATCAGTCTAAAATGGTGGTCTTTACTCTGTAGGAGGACTATCAGTCTAAAATGGTGGTCGTTATCCTGTAGGAGGGCTATCAGTCTTAAATGGTGGCCGTTATCCTGTAGGAGGTCTATCAGTCTTAAATGGTGGTCGTTATCCTGTAGGAGGTCTATCAGTCTAAAATGGTGGTCGTTACTCTGTAGGAGGGCTATCAGTCTAAAATGGTGGTCGTTATCCTGTAGGAGGGCTATCAGTCTAAAATGGTGGCCGCTACTCATGAAATACTGTAATGTAAAACAAGTTTCAGCTGTAGCTAAATGGGTTCTTAGTAACCTTTCCCCTTTTTTCGTAGATTTTTCTCGTGTTTTCGGAAAGTACTAGGCATGGGTGTTCATGATTTTTGACTTGAAGTGTCACTGACACTGGTACTAATTGAATGCAATTGCCAAGATGTAGTAAATGTTTTCTTTGTTAGACATTCTGAACCAACTTTAAATACATGTAGTGCTTCGAATTTCCTACTACGTATTTCAAATTCGCTCATTGATGATTTTGCTTTTACTAGCTTTACTATCGAAATAAGATTTTTACATCAAAGTTCCTATAAGAAATACTTTTTCGAACAATATTCCCACTCACCGGTTGGTCTGAGATTTCAGTTAAAAAACAAATATCAGATGTAAGCCTAAATGAAATATTTATAATCAAGATAACTCCTCCCCTGGGCCAGGAGTGAGGATTGACAAAGTGTTCCTCAATTTAAAATTAAACTGCTCAATCAAGGGTTATAAGACTTGTTAAATATCTGGCTGCATGATGGCAAGTATCAAAACCATGAAACCCGACATTGGGTTACGTTGGGACATAAAGATGTGAGAACTTAATACCTCAGTCTGGAAATAAACGGTTTAATATGTTAATTATTCACATGACTGCAAGACAAACAGGAATACTCTCATCTATTCTCTCAGCTTCATACATTAGATGTGTCGATGCAAAAGACGCTTACCCTTCCGAAACACCTGGTCGTATTATCCTTGTACGTTTGTTATGGTCTCCATATATATATTTCCTTTGTGCATGTTCTGCCCTAGTTTTATCGATGTTGAGTTCGAATGGTTGTTCTGTTGACACCTAGGTATTCTATTGATGTTTTTCTTCATCAATGTCAACTGAACAAAAGTCACATTCTTTAATTGACGTATTCGCATAGAGAGTATTTAAAGTATTTTAGAGATACGATAGCTTAATTTATCTCTAACGACCTAGGCAGAGTGGACAGTGTCGACTAAGAGGGTTAGGATTTATATACCAGAATGACAACCGTGGCACGGAGTGTCTAATATACAGCAGGTATGGAAATGTAACTGGAAAATATAACTATTTGTGTCCGAAGGGTCGGGAGAAATGACACATGCGACAGTCGTGTTCCTTTCTTAACCCTTAATAACAAATAAAAAGACAACACAACAGGTGCAACATGTCAATCACCCATCTCGACTCCTATTTATTCTTTGTTAGGTTTGAGTGATCGTAATTATATCAATTATACCTAAATGTAAAAACATACCTAGTTGACAGAGTGACAAATGACGAAGTATCTATATTTGTTTAAAACCTTATCATACCGTTAGAATATGACTGGTAGATATCGTTTGGTAATTGTAATATCGCCATGCTTTTCTTGAAAGTCAAAGAGAATGCAATTTTTGTAATGCTCATCTTATATACGAAATATAGGCAATTTTCACAAAAACCTTACTATGATCTCAAACTCCAGTAAACAAGGGCAAAATATCAATAGTATCTTGATTGAGACATTTGAAAAAGAACCAGGAGAATAAGGCCATACGTAACGATATAAGGGTAAACGTCCTCTACATTATTGATGACACACGCTATGTCAATCTAAGTCAAAACCAGGTTACTTCACGTTCTAATTAGTGAGAACCGGGGAAGTGAACAAGAAACAATCAGGCAAAGCACGATAAATACATCGGTCGTCAAGGAAAACGAATATTTCCCAATGAGATCTGGAATTACATTTACGAAAATGAACAAATCGGCTCATTTTCATTGTTATTTAGAAAATAAAGTTATATACTAGAAATGTTAACGTGATAGAAGAGACATCTGTGGGTTCTCTGGTAAAATGATGATTTTGAGAGCTCGAATGCATCATGGGAAAATATCTTACACAAAATAGAAATGAATGACTCTTTTAATGATATAGATGATCATGGCCAAGCGATGAAATGCAATTGACATCATGATATATTGTGGATGTTGAACACATTTCCTACAATAATTCATCCCAAAGCGATATTTGATATACGACGGTTAATTTTAGTTTAAGACAACATGTCGTCCACTTGATCCGTAACGATAAATTATCACGTGGAACAGTTGTCAAAATCGTCCATTGTGTCAGTGATGGTGACATACGGTGGAGATAGTAGCCATCAATAGTAGCCGGAACCATTTGTTACCATATACACATCGCAATATGTCACTAAATCGTTACCCCTGTGGTAATTGCAGTGATGCATTTGCGATTTAGTATGTGTAATACGTTTGACATTGTATGTGATGTTTTGTCGCTGTAGCTGGTTTATAATTGTATTCGGTGCCCCTTCTCTTTGGTATGGAGTAGTTATGACGTTAAATGTGATAGTGTTTCCATTCAATAGGAACACTGTCATTATTATATAAAAAAAAAATGAGATAAGATTACGAAAGAGAAAGACAGGTGAGTGTGCAATGTTTTATGTAATGTTGTGTATTGAAACTCGGACTCGATTAGATCAGGAGGAATATTCAGATCATCTTGGGAAAGCTTGATGGCGTTAACATTTTATCTTATTGTGTGAATAAGTATTTCCTTAAAACCAAACAAATATTTTCTTGGTAGATGTATATCAGACTTGGTATAAGAGGAAATGAAAAATCGATTAGAGACCATGTTGATTCATTATTGATACCATGATATGGTTTAACAAAAGAAATGTCTTAAAAATAAATTAATTTACTGTGAGAATAGGTTTAAGAAAGTTGTGTGTATAGAAGCTAATGTAATAAATAAAAAACCATCTACCTCTTACCTATAGAAATAAATCAAATACTGCTGGACAACATGGAGGCGGAATTATCGTTAATACAGTCAATATCAAATTTACATCGTTCAATTTCGAGCGACTAAAAACTCGAACTATATTTATAACGACTACAATTTATAATTAATCACGTTATGTGAACAATGTGCAAATACGATACTCTTAGGATTTACCTGTACAAAACTCAAATTGAAACCTTAACAATGGATAAAGGGAGATAACTGAATTACAGTGCATGTAATGGGAATACACCGACATCCAGAATTCTCCGACAAGATTTAAAAAACTTCTAATGTCCTAACTATATCATTTTAATGAGGAAATAATAGTATTTGGTTAATTTATAAACACAGGTATATGTAAAAGAATAAACAATGAAATAGTGTTAATCCTCTTTTCCTTGTGAAATATTTTATTTTCCTTTTGTATCACACGAACAGTAGACTATAATTTGATTTCCGGATATTAACGATTTACATATTGAATAGAATACAATAGGAAACAAAGTGAATAGATATAATATAGATAAGGCATACATATCTTCACATATCCATATATAGATGTACATACAATTCTATCTAATGGATGTATGAATTGTCTCTACATTTCTTAGATTGTGTCGAAGTAAACATGTCATAGATATAATTGTCTTGACTACAAAGTACATTGTTTAGAACACTACAACTACTTACACTCACACATTCATTTATCAATAGTATGTGTACTCTTTATGAATTATTATATTCTACATACTACTTCTTTAATATTAAATGCAACATCGTTTCTAATCTCAAATACATTTTTAACAATGAACGTAACATATATAAAGGCGTGTTAAAATCTGTTTTTAAAACCATCGATTCTTCATCTACTTTTCCGAGTATTTTGCTTATTTCGATTTATTATTTACAGACATGATTTCATGTTTGTTTTACCTAGATTTGATCGCTACTTTTAATGGTATAGCTAGTTTTGTTTTTTGTTCTGTAAGCATTTGATTGTCTCTCAATAAATCTCTACTCCACAGGCAATGGACAGACATGCAATTTCCCAATGCTCTATTGCAAAAGGAACATAATGGCGAATCTTTAACATGTATTCGGATTTTCCTTGAGTTCCGAATAACTTTAAAAGCAGACGACATCAATGGCGCTTCAACCCGATAGGCAGTACGGTTTGGTTTTTGTTTCGTTTCGGTATGATAGAATGTGCTTGGTGTGAGCAAATGCCTTTCTCTGCAAAATCATAGCAAGGATGAAATTGCATCCAATTTGTACAAATCAAATATTTTTATTACTCAAATGCGACATTTTGGACATGCTCAATACATTTCAATTTTGCATCTTTGTCAACACGAAACAAACTATCTTGTAAGGTACATAGTATGTGTGATTCATAGAATAAATTGAATATAATGATGTTCGCTTATAAGATAAAACATACATGCTACGTTTCAATGGGCCGTACAGGTGGGAGAGTGGTCCGTTAAATTACCTGTGGTGAGAAGGATGACGTGGACAAATATTCATACTAAATGACCGCGGGAAACCTTTTACTTAATCGGTTCACGCACCTCGGTTCTTCGTGTTCATCTTCTTTGAGAGCAAAGTTTTCATTTATCAAACAATAACTTAGGATTGTATGTCGAAGAAAGAAGCAACACAAAAGTATAATTGGTCACTTCTTATAATTAATGGTTCATTGGAACAAACCGTTTTACTTGTTCCCGCTGTTTTTACATAAATAACACATTATAATTTGTTAACCTTTATGTAGAAATCTAGGGTAACTATAAATCAGATACCTATAGACCTGCTAAGATTACGAATGTCCGGTATCCATGTTACAAAATGTCTTTCCCGGAAGTGTTATGAAATGTATACACATGTTACATTATATATCTATATGTATATATACACGTTTGTGAGTCACAGGATTTCCCCTTACCTACAAACGACGTCAACGCTTTCCTGGCTTGATGATTCGACGAATTCGGTGATGATCAAGAAAAGGTAGGTTTTATCATGTTATTTGTTTTTGGCATATCTGCAATATATGTTAATAGTTTTAGTCGGTTTATAGACATATGTGTTATTGAAACTTATAACATGCACGTTTCTCTATGGCGATGCACCTGTACATATAGCCTTACTGGTATCGCTGTTGATGTGTCAGTATCTTACCTTACATCACTCAGGTTTTTCCTTATAGGTGTGGATTCTCAGACACATGTAGCGCTTATCAACCATTGCATGTATGTACCCTGTATATCCATGTTTGTACCCTGTGTCTAAGCAGTATGTTTTCTGTTTTACCTTGTATGTACTTTGTTTGACCCTGAATGTACCAAGATTGTACTACACACACACACATATATATATATATATATATACCATAAAAAAAGATGTTATCATCAAATATACCCAGTATAAACATGTTTGTATATGTTAGTAAGTAGAGTCTGTATGTACCATGTATGACACCCGTAACATGTGTGTACACCTGTGTTTACCTATATACATCTATATAAACCCTGTATAACCTGTATTTGCACTGTATACTGATACGTATATTTACCCGGTATACACCTGTAACACACTTGTGTGTTATCTCTATGCACTTGTATGTACAGTGTATGAACCTTGTAAGTACCCTGTATATATCCTGCATACGCGCTACGTATGTTTCATTTATATACCATTTGTGTATCTGTATGTACCCTGCATCACCTTTTTATATCTGTACACATAATATGCACCCTGTATGTGTATGTAACTAAAGTTAAATGTTAGAATATATGACACATCAATGACTTAATTAGAAGTCACTCACGGTTAAAACTATTAGCTTTTAATAACATGAATATATGAATCTATAAAAAACTTGCGTAACACGTCACGTTTCTAATTTACATAAGCATACTTAATAAACAAAAACACTAACAGGTGATTCCCCGTTATCGGTCTGTCGCACCATACCTCGGGGACCTCTAGTACTCCTCTTTGTCCATTTTATTCTGCCACTGATTACAAGTCACCGTAGATTAGCCTCAAACTAGAGACCAGAGGCTACGTTGATCCATGCATGTTAGTACATTTGAACGACCCTAGCCTTAAACTAAGTACATTGTATTGACCAGTATGCTGACTATGCTTTGTGTGGCGTCGTTACCATCGCACGAACGTCAAAGATCCAACTCGTCTGTTAAGATTACCTTTCATGACCCCCGTTTTAATTGGGAAAACCTCATACGTAGTATTTACTGTATCATTTAAATAGCCTATAGAAAGCAACAGACGGTGAGGAAGTCCACATTTAATTATTAAAGTCTCCCTCCAATGTAAAGCTGTCCCTGAACAAATTATAACCATGCCGACAGTGTATCACAACACAAATGTATGGAAGGTCTAAAAACAACTGAAGGTGCCACAGAAGTTAGATAAACCTTGCCCACAAATTAAAAATACATTAACGTGGTCAAGGTATTTAAACAACTGCATAGGACCTCGCTTCGCAATCTCAAAGACGGGTCCGTTTGTTGTGACAATCGGACAAAAGGCTTCAGACTTTGACAAAGGAGATGCAAGTCAAGTATGTGCATCGTGATGGATTTCTAGGCATTTAATGAGGTTAGCCATTACAGCGTGTATACGATGTGGTAATGGAACGTAGCCAACATCACTGACTTTGTCAAAAATATCTTTTGGATTAAGTGTAAAAATCATACAAAGTATAACTTGGGATGTTTAGTCAATAAACTTCAGGAATAGTACAAATACATAAAGAACAGAACCCTTCATCTAAACATGTATCTTCTGGTACGTAAGGAATGGGTAACCACACTTTACCACTATCCACCGGTTAAATGTATAATGGTCCGCGAGCTAAGGAAGATTTAGTGGTAGAGCCGATGGGAAGAACAATCCCTAGATAGGCCTAAGGTGCAATAGGATCTAGCTTCTCAGTATACCTGTACTTCAGGAACGGGCATACCTCCGGAGAATACACATATCAATTGACTGATTGATTGGTTATACAGCATATCTGTCATAGCTCTCATATATTAACACTGAAATATTTGCAATGAAAATACTAAAGGATATTCATCTATAGTAATTCAGCTTTGACCTTGCTGATATCAAACAAATACCATGGCAAAGAACAGATGTTAATGTATGTTTAAATATTAATATAATGTATTACATGAGAAGTTCAAAAATTTTATGTATCCTTCATATCTTTGATTATTTTTTATTTTTAAAGACATATAGATATCACCATATATGAATTTAACTGTTTGTTTTACCGATAGGAACTGTACAGACCTTAAACAATATCCAAACTTTCCATCTCCTAAAACATATTCTTCCATTGTCGTTATGTCGCGATCGATAACAATAAGGTCAAGGTCGAATACTAGCTCCACCCACCTCACACCTGATCGATTTTAAACCTGACAGTGCAAGTTAAAAAGCTTTCAATTGAGATTAAAGGAAGTCTAAGGAAGAGATGGGGATAGTTGAACCAGTGAACATCATAGAAAATGAAGGCTTACTGATGATACAACAGAACACTCATGTAGGGAGTATACAAACAGTAGATGAGGTTCATCAGGAAGATGATATGGAGACATTAGAAACGGCGGATAACTCATTACGTAAACACTTACAACCAGTGTTAGATCGGGTTTCGAACGAATTTAAAACATCTACAGAAAAGTTTAAATTAGAAGCTTTATTAACAGAACATCAGGATGTATTCCCTGGTCCAGATGGTAAACTTGGTCCCACATATATAATAAAGCACAAGATAGATACAGGTCAGTTACGTCCTATTACAATTCCAGCACAGAGGATAACTCCAACACGACAACACTGTAGAAAAAGAGTTAACATCTATGTTAAAGAATAAGGTTATAGAATATGGCCAAGAAAAAAATAGATACGCTTCTGTATCGTTTATCGCAAACACAAAAAGATGGGTTTCCCCTACCACATATATATGACGCATTGGATACCTGACCGGGTGCTAGGTTCTCAAAATTAGATCTAGCAAGTGGCTATTGGCAATGAGTAATGGATAGTCAAGAAAAACTCAAACAGCCTTTTCAACACACCGGGGTCTTTACCACTTTAAAATAATGCCATTCGGACTCTGTAATCCCCCAGCTATCTATTGTAGAATGATGCACCTAGTACTGGGTTGTCTGGATGATGTCATATTTTACATGAACATTTCGGGTATAAATCCTGGCGGACCTGCAAATGATTATGCAGGCCTTGCAAGTCTTTGTCAAGGCTCGTCTGAAAGCAGCATCAGATTACTAGGTCCGACCTTATTTAATAAACGAACAACTGTGGTCCGACCGGTTTAACCGTTTAAACGAAAACGGGCCTGGAGTCAGTTTCAGTGTTAAGAGAGGCTCATAAAAAGTTAAAAGAAATACAGTCGATTTCAGACTGAAGACCTTTATCTTGGTCACGTAGTATCAGAAGCTGGCGTAAGTACTGACCCAGAAAAGGTCAAGGCTGTTATGGAATGGCCACGCCCATGAGACATTTCTAAAATCAGAGACTTTCTTGGTTTAGCTGCATACTATCGTAGGTTTATTCTAGATTTTGCCAGAATTTCAAAACCTCTTAAGCTATTGACAAGAAAAGACAAAATGTTTCGGTGGGATGAACACTGTGAGCAGTCATTCTTACCCAACCTTAGAATACTTAGAAGACGTGTCTCAGACACTGACGCTAGCAACACAGGGTTAGGACAGTGCTCTCACAAGTACAAGATGGGGAGGAGCGAATAATCGCGTACGCAAGTAAAACATTGAGTAGGTCCAACAAAATTATTGTACAACACAGGGAATTGCAAGTTTATGTCTGAAAGAAGTTATTGTCACTACTGTATGTAGTCTAAAATGTTTTTACATTATTTTTTAATCATACCTCGTACAGGCAGATGTTGCCTTTTGTTTTTGTTGTAGGGTAGCCCGAGTTCTCCCTGGTCCAGACACCAGACATAAACATTTTGACAGATAGATGTCTGGCGGGGGACATCTATCTGTCAAAATGTCGAGGTCTGGTGTCTGGGCAAGAGGAAACTCGGGGTAGGTAAACAAAAGCCTATTTTTCAAAGGCGGGATGGGGTGTAACGGGTAGGAAATGTATAAATGTGTAGACGTTACCCAGTGTATTTGTGTTCATGTTATAGTTCACCCGGCGTCGTTAGACCGAAAGTTTATTTACTTCCGCTACTGTAGGGTATTTCAAAAACGTTATTCAATGTTTTCGGGTTTTGTTGGGGTAGAGCATAAATAGCCGCGTCAACACTAAGAACGTCGATCCGTGGGCCACAACCTTTGTTACAGCCTGCATGTCCACATCTGAAGAGCTGTCCGACCTCCGAGCGTGGCCTATGGCACTTTGAATCTCAAAGGGCCTGGTAAGCGGCAACTTACCCCTCACATCGGCCGCAGCACAGACTTCGTCAGTGAAAGGCAGACGATAAACCCTTCAACCAACCAACCAACCAACCAATGTGGAAGACTCAAAAGAAGGGCAACGGGGACCACGCGCAGACATGGAGCTACGGACCAAGGCCGCAGTGACAGTCTATCCACATCTGAGGAACAATTAGACCTTGGAGCGTTACTTGGACGGGCCTCGTAAATTTTGAATCAAGAGAAGGCCTGGTGAGTGGGCTAAAACACAGGCCACCGTCAGTGTGGAAAGACGTAAACCAGTAACCAAAAATTCGGTCGTTCGTTAGCCAGACGGATTCGTTGAGTGGCAGGTCAGCTCCCTATCTTGCTTTTCTACTTTATTAGTGTAGCTTAGTTATTTGTGGAATCAAGAGGGGTGGTCATTAACTTATTAATGTAACACGGAGTTATCAGTAGCTACGTATACTCAGGAGGTAATGTAATTGTCAGGTGCTGCGTTGTATACTATAATTACTGTATATGACTTGTCAGAAAATCACGGGACACAATACATGTACTTGCGTGTTTTTGCCTTTCTTTTGTATTCCTTCTAGAGTATGGAACCTTAAGTAGAAAGTAGATTGAAATATTAAAGATATTGTTTGAATATTCATTTTGAAAGGGACAAACCGTTAAAACGATATTCCAGTTATTAAATGTACTATATGTGTTCTCTGCACTTCCAATTATGTTTTATTGCTATCCCTATATTCATAGTGCGTTCCAAATCTCCAGTATGACCACTCGATTTGTACGGGAATTCCCTGTTACTAGCGCCGACAACGGCAGGTGACGAGGCAGTAAACACGTGTGATCTGACCGAGAAGCCAAGTTTGCGAATAGGCCCAAAAAGAGAAGGATGTAGTTGGGCAACTTCATAGCGCACTATGAAACCAAGGATTCTAAGTCCTCGTTGAAACCTTGTGATCTCCTTTACATGACAAAATAAGTTCATCTTTGTTCCAACTTAGACAAACATACTAGAGTCGATTCCACTTCAGCTTTATTCAACATCATATCGGCCACCCGGAAGATATCACGTGATATTACGGGATTAGATCTAAGTCGGTGGTAATTTATATGTCTCTGACCGTACTAACTGCTAGGACGGTTAATTTTTCCTTTGAATACTTCCCTTATGATCTGCAATAATGCTTCCTTGCGCTATTGTTTGACCATTTACTTCCCACGGCAAGCCATTTTGTTTACGATGAAATGTGCTATATTTAGATTATGAGACGTTCTTTTTACGCAACCAATCACATTTTCTATGTGACGTTTCGATGAATAGTATGATATATATACACTGTCACCTTCATCAGACAAATTACCAATGAAGCATATGCACACAAAGGTGTAAAATGTGTACGAGTTGTCCATAAAATCGATGTCGATTTCGGCTACGCTGGAAACGTATGTACAATAGTTGTTATATATGTACCGAAATGACTCAATTTAGCTACGCTTTGTTAACACTTAGTCATAGATGTGCGAGAGTCTTTGAACCCCCTCGTCTCGATTTAGAACTTGCCCACTGCGGCGTATCCAGATGGCTTCCTTTATCTGTCGCTTGAACAGATTGCTCTCTCTGTCCAAAACTTTGGAGTTATCCCAGTCAATCGCATGTTTTTTCCGTGTGGCATGGTCTGTGATTGCCGATCTATTTATCTGGGAATCCGACTGTTTTCTTTCAGATCTGGTGAACTTCCTACCTTCTTGGATTTCTGTATCTTTCCGGTGTTCACCAAGGCGGACCCCAAATCGCCTTCCAGTCTCTCCAATATACGACGCGTCGCAGTTTTTGTATACGCATTCTGCGACGCTTGCTTTAGGTTTTTTTATCCTTATGGTGTACTAGGATATTGCGAAGCGTCTTGTGGGGCTTCATGGCTGTTGCTATGCCATGAGCGCGATATATCCTCTGGATGGTTTTGGATATACCCTTTATATACGGGATAACCACTTGACCTTGACGCTATTATAGACTTATGAGGTATCTGAAAATAATTTTAATTCTGAATTGGTATCTCATATGTTCTACTAATTTTGAAATGTTAAAAAAATGTCAAATCATGTGTTATGAGTAATCAACTGTTGTCTTGAAAAACTTCAAAAATGAAAAATAATTAAACAAATAAATAAAATTAAAAAACTACCGTACAAAATAATGGTTAGACAGGCCAAAGGATTGGACTATACATTTTAAAGAAAATGTATCGGCGATTATTAGAATATATACTTCGCCGTAATATTCCTTTAAGTATGTCCGGTTTTTGTGTGCATATTTTGGTATAACCTTTATATATAGGGGTAATTACACACAGGTTTAACATCAACTGTCTCATTATCTTTATACAATAAAACGTGACGTGTGACATAGGCTTGATGAGTTGTGACGTAGAAAATTGTAAAGGTCTGTGATATAGAATATTGAAGTGATATTTTCTGTAAAAATGAACAGAACTTCATTATAGTTCGTGACGAAAAAATGGTACATGTGTTCTATGTGACATATAAAGTGGTTTTGTTTGTGAATGTATGGTATAAATCATCTTCGCTAGCCCAGATACGAAGCGAACACTTGGCTAGCGAAGATGGGTATAACTATAGAGTCACGCCGGGTACTTTAACACCAGATACAGTGATTGCATTCTAGTTATTATTTTTCGAACTCCTGTACTTATAATTTCTCTCGACATTCATAGTTGTTCATGTGTCAATTGACCGTTCCGGGACCTAAGTGTCCGGGTACCCAACATGACATTAGTCTTAATCAAAACCCAATGAAAATTGTCTACACAGTCTAATCACTTGGGTGCTGGTGTGAGATTGTTTCTGTTTCCATGAATTCTAGCTCTAAATCAGGATATGGAATTTTACTTATAGAGTACGTCGCTAAAACATACGTTAATTTCCAAATCCGGATGCAAGTACATGTATATATAAAATTTGTTATTTCAAAACAGGAACCACCGTTCGGCTAAATGGCTGTCTGACGTTCAACTAAACAAAACAGCCCATGTATGTATTAAGGTGTTCACGTCATCTTATATATATGATCCTTATTTCTCGTTGCAGATTATTTCGGTCAACAAGATCTTGACAATATCGAAGCCGGAAATGGTTGACGGGTACCATCTTCCGGATAACGTTTCTGCCGTATCGTTGCGTGCGCTTGGGGCATCAACGCGCCAACTTCTCGCTATCTACCTCGATCCTCCATCTTGTACAGTGAACAATGACGGTTTCGCAACCGATGCGTCTGGATTGGCAGAACTTGCTGGGTTCGATTATCCAACCATTCGATACTTCGAGTCTAAATCCAGCAAAACTAGCGAACTTTTGGACATGTGGCGGTACCGACAAAACGGAACCCTGGGAAATCTCGTTGGATATCTCCTGCAGATCGAGAGATTCGACTGTCTGACAGAGATCTGGCAAAAATTATGTAAGTATCAAGTATTCTAATATGTTGATTTCTATAAACATATTTTTAGGGCACAAAAGCCTTTTAAAAGAGTACAATAAGGGCACAGACAACCGAAAGGGATGGCACAGTTTTTACTTGTATTGTAGAAAACAGACGTTCCCTATATGTCAGTGTCATTCAGTTAAAATATTACACTTGTCAATTGTTGTTTGTAAAGTTATATGTGACTCATCAATTATTTAAAACAGTTTGCTTGATTTAATATAAGAGATTGACATGTGCGTACTTTTCGTTTCTTTTTAGTGACAGACGCTAACAAGTGGGCAAAACGGTCACGTACACGCGAGTCCTCGTGTAAGTAAACTTATGAGCGTCTAGCTCGTGACGCGGCAAAAAAACAACCGTTCATAAACTACATCAAAATTAAATGCATACATGTATACAATATGATGAGAAGGTGTCGTGGGGAACCCATTGAAACAAACCGCAAAAACGAGGCGGTGTCTCCATTTGTCGGTCTGTCAGATCAAGTCTATCATTAAAGTATAGTGTAATCATCGATAACAACCGCTGATCAAACGCTTATAGGAGATATTGGATTAAGAGTAAGCTGAAGTGTTCACCACAGTCAGATGGTTTCGGCTATGTTAGTACTGTTAAAACATTTTTCTCCATGAGAAAAAGACCTGTGTTCGTTCGAAACTCCAAAGACAGCCTAAATGTATATGTTACTAAAGTAAACACACACCTGTATTTTCATATTATTATCAACCTTCGTTAGAAGACGGTAGACGGTACAAAGCACATCTATTAGCCGTAGTTAATGTCGCACCTGTGTATGTTTATGTACCTTACAGATATCACATGATTTGTATATATTTTATAGCTCCGCATAGCTCGACATAAAAGCTTGAACATTTTCATATTTTAACGTCAAACATATTAAGAAATATCAAAATATTTTATACCCTATGTTTATTTTAAGGTCTGTATAATTTTGGTTTAACAATGTCACATTGTCGCTATACTATGAGTTGACCTATATGCATTATTTTATACTCAGTATAACTAACGTATGCCCCTGTTGCTCCGTAAAATATGTAATTACAATTTTCATTCCATTTACTTACGAAGAATGAAGGGGATATATTTTATTACAGTTCCTCGGTCCAACGCCAGTTTTCACATATCTACTCAAACTTCATGCTTAATCACCAAAGTTCTGCTTGGGATTACGTTTTAATTCTCATAAATTGAGATCAAGGTCACTGTTCTTTAAGACGATTTTTTTCCCGCAATAACTTGAGTGCCGTGGGCCGACCACGCTCAGACTTAAGGATACATTGTTGAACTGCCTAGTTGTTTGCTTATGCTTCCACGTTAGGTCCGAAAGTCAGTGTAAAGGTCACTACATTGTATTGCTAAAATAGATTATCGGTTTCCGTAAAATGATTTTAGGCCGAATAGACCTCTTATCGAACAACTCCCGTGGTCTGATGACGCATTCATGAAATGTCTTTTTGCTGAAAGTGCTTGTTTTTTTTAATTGCTTTTCATGGTTGATAGTCAACGGTCAAGGTCAATGTTGATCATTAAATGCTCATGAGAATTTGTATATTCCTCTGCGATGCCATGTTGTTCATTGGCTTATTGTTTTTGTCTTACTGTATCCAAAAATACCTTGTATTTATAGATGCTATACTCTTTTCTTCTACACTTTACTAACTATATTTGTTACACCTCAAGTGAATTTCTAGCTATTTGATTGGTTGGGAGAAAATTAAACAAAAATCTCTGTCACCCTCCGGAAATACATTGGTTTTAAGAGTTTCGGGTGATATTGCTATGAGACAGTGAAAAATATCACTACGCGAAAAAGGTGCGTTCGCCGCTTCGTTTCCCCACCGTGATGGTCACAAGAACGTTTGAAGACAACAGCCAATTTTATCAAGCGCCGTTGCGAAAGCGATTGTCAACAGCAGACTATCAACAAACAAGATGTCATTATCGAGGTTTGCTGCTGTTTCTGAGCATCAAATACTTTTGGTGTAACAAAATAGATATGACATTCATTAGCTGGTGACAGTGAATATTGTCAACCCTCAAAAACCAATTGTCACCCTCGGCTTCGCCTCGGGTGACAATGGTTTTCTCGGGTTGAGAATATTCACTGTTACCTACTATTGAATGTCATTTTTATATAATATTATATCGTAATAATAATATAACACTTTTGTTGTATACATATTACAGGCACAGCGGTGAGTTTTAACGGCAACGTTCCATCAACTGAATCCTCCTCGGATGACGTGACCTCATCCACTGACTTCCTAACTATCGACGATGGTAAGTTACTTCAACCCGATTTACTTACAACACCTTGTTGAAACAAAATTGATTATTTTCTTATCTGCACACCAACTGATGCTAAATGTAGAATATGCTTTGTATAAATGTTTATCTTTTATTGATATCCATATCATGGTTTTGTTAAAAGTTAATGCTGGGGAAATCCAGATGTATTCGGCGTGTGTCTGTTGTGCTGACGATGACCTTGGCCTTGCACGTGACATTGTCCGGGAGCTATCGAAAACCATTAAGCTCTTTATCCCACAAGACCATCTAGTGGGAGGGGCGTATGAATTTGAGGCCACAGCGGAAGTCATTGAGGACAGGTAACAAAGTCCTTCACGTTACCGCAATTATGACAAAGCACACACCAATAAGCGCTTGATAACCCTCTTGTCGAGCTAAAATGAATATAAAGTCATTTGCAGTAATTTCAAATACTGTTTTATTTTATCGCTAAAGCTAAAGGCAGCATTGGTTTCATTAACATTAGAGGGAACCAGAAAGTCATCAAAAGCGTGGCCATGTCTAACGTTCGCTGTAATCACTTAGGTCTAGTTGGTATCTATATTAGTTAATAATTTCAATCACAAAGACAACGGAATTTGATACAACGAAGCCCGAAGTATCTCTTCTGTTCTAAGACATTGGTTTGCCCCTCCTGTGTTTACGTTGTCTGAAATGCAATCGTAGGTCATATGACTGACTCCCAGAAAGCTCGGCCTGCTGGCCAACTTTGCAGGTTTTTTCTTTCTTTTGTGAGTGAAAGTAAAATTGATCATGCAGAAAACTAAATTATTGATGCCATATTACTACACACCATATAATTCGTAATATCCAAAATATTGCTACTGAAATAAAAATGTGTATCCCTAGGGCAAACTATCTTTCAAAAAGTACCGTAACAAAGGCCAATTTCTGCAAATGGCGAATGTTTTCAAGTCATGGATATTACAGATGTCAGACGTAGTAAAAACAAAAGGGTAAATTCTGTTATGCTTAGTTTGATGTTTGGGCTAGGTCTTAGGGTGTGATGTCTGGGCTAAAAGGATAGTTGACCTGCTAACAAAACAAGTATACAAAAAGATCACGTGTTGGTTTTTTTTATGGATTTTCATGGATATTATTTCTCAGTATATTCAACAAATGTCTATTTTAACATAAAGAGTTACAGTGGTGTTAGTTTGAGCAATTCATTTTCAGTACATTGTTAAATTTCTATCCGTTTCACATACATGTCTATCTATTTCAACATAAAGGACGACTGTATTATCAGTTGGAAAGAATCTTATAAAGTTTTATGTGTAAGAAAGGGCTAACACTCAGCTCTGCGGGCTTAAATCATCCTATTCTCTCAAACAAAGTGACGTTATACGGACATTATAGTGATAACATTCGGATTACCTATCATTATTCCTTTATCCAGCTGATAATGTGATAGAAATGTTTACAACCTAAATGTTTGTTTAAATTAACTAAATTTGTGTACACGACGCATGAAACCGTACCTATAATATATAGAGTTACGATAGAAATGTATCATAGCAAGACCCTCTTTTACACAGTAGTACACGTATAACATTGACAGGAACACACGGACACAACTGTACAGTTGTGGTAAAGTTTAGATTGATTACATTATAGATGTGATGGCCGACTGGTGGTTTTGCTGTCTAATCACTACACGAACTCGCCTGCCTGTTCCTTCGCTACACAATTCGCCAAGACACTCGATCCCGGTAAGTTGATCACGTTTGGTTTCTTAAGTATATCTAATAAGCTTTCTAGGCGCACTAGAACATATTTTACAGGAGAAATACTAATTAATGAGATCAGATACGTGATAAGGGGCCTCGGAAGGTTCCTTGACTTCAAGTTTATATAAATGCTTCCAATGACGCCTAGCTATCAAAACTTTGAATACTCCAATTAAAAGGACGAGTGTCTATAAGGTCTTGTTTGGGCCCCGGTATATTCGGATTTTCACCACCTTGATTTGTTCAAAAATTTCCTATTGTATTACAAGTGCAAAAACTAAGGTAAAAGTTTGACCGTAAGTGAGTTTTTTGGGGGCACCGAAAGGGGTAGGGTAAATCACAAATATACTTTGTTATCAAAATGAGTTAAAACAACAAAAATAATACCATTTCTGTTTTGGAAACATTTTAAAATTAAACAGGTATATATAAAACAATGAAAAATGACAGAAATTCAATCGTCACTCAAAGATTGTTTACATATAACGAAAATTTACAACTTTACTCATTTGAGTACACCTTCATAAAATGTATATTCATTACACACTATCCTTTTGTTTTATACTGAGTTATGGCTTCCGGACACATCTCAAACTTTGCAATTTCAAATATCTCTCAATCGTAAGTGATTTAAAAGATTCTGGGCACCCTTCATATGCTATAAGTATAAGATATTAAAAGTTAATATTGTATATTATATATATCATATAATATTTGCTCAACACCTGTGACTGAAGTGATGTCCAGGTCCTGATTTGTTTTCTTACCTATCAAAGTGAACTTACTGTACAAATAAAAAATGGCAATTGCCAACACAACTACTGTAAAATGATTAATTAAACATATGAAGTTTGATTTGCTGGTAATTTTAAGTCTCCTAGCCTCAAGGAAAGTATCGGGTTTTAATCGGTACAGTTAACCCATTTCATTGTTTTATCATTTGTTCTGCCTATTTCCAATAATAAGGGCCGATTGTACATAAAAGGCATTTTGGGATAAACATGCAACTTGGTATAGATATTAGGTGAATGATGATAAATAACTTGTAAAAGTGTCATACTTATCCCATAATTCCTTTTCACTTAAAAACCCCCCACTTTTTCTTGTGTTTTGGAGTACAATGACTAAAGTGCACCTCCTTGTTTAACACCAAATACCGGGGCCCCCAAAAAGGGCCTTTTAGACACTTATCCTTCACCTGCCTATTTAGGACAATAGAATGTGTTATTAAACCTCTACTTTATTTTGCTGTATATGGTGTTGGGCCTTTATCAACTATCGGTTAGTCAGAAAGCTAAAACACCCCCTGCAAACTAATTCCCTTGCCATTTTCCGGAAGTGATAAATCCTCGGATTATTAAACTTAAGTTGTTGCTGCTCTACTACCTATTAAATAAATTGATATTCGCCTAAGTGCTGCTATATTGTTTTCATATCTATCTGTTTACTTACTCGCGATAAATGTTGTTTCGTGATTTCTTACAGACGCACGTAGAAGGAGGATCATACCGGTCGTCACACAGGAGGGAGTGAGCTTCCCGCGCATTTTACGTGGCATCAGTACAATCAAACATTACAGGTGTGCATCTATGACGTCATTTCTAACTCAGGTCATTGCCTCGCTTTCATACAAACCTCAAACAAAAAGTAATACTAAAATTTTAAATGACCCTCCCCGAGAAAACAAAACCATTTCAACCTCTTCTTCCTGGAGCTCCGTCGAATACCCTAGGAAGTCTTCAGGTATTTCGACGTCGTCTAGTGTAATATCATTGGATTGCGACAGGAGATCATCGTTCGCTGTAGACAAACGCAATTCAAATGTTTCAATGGCATCTATAATATCCAACGAGTCCCGAATATCAAACTATCGGAGTTATTTGTCTTCCTCAAACGATCCAGGTTTAGTGTCGTCTGCTATTCATCTTGGTCGTGAATCACCGTCATGTAGCTCAAAAGTACTTAATATCAATCCGTTTCCCTTGAATCTATATAAAAATGAGCAGTCCCAGGAGCCAGGAGGAAATTTAACGAAATCTTCAGCATATTCTTCGACATCGACATCTGATAAAAACTTTAATCGATCAAAGTATAATGATCTTTCACCTGGAAGTGACGTCATGGCAAGACAGGTGCAACAAAGGCCTAATCGGATTTGTCCCACATCAGATCTGAACATCGGCATTGATCAGATCGGCGATAAAACACAAAATGACGGGAAAACCAAATCAACGATAATTGCCACTTTGAAACGTGTTTTTACGCGTTCTCCGTCAAACAAAAATGTAGAAAAGACTTACAATTTAACAACAAATACAAGAAGTTGTGACGGGAGCAGCGCGAGCAATGTGTCCCAACGCTCAGCATTCAAATGTGAGGGTTCCTCAGTACCCACCGAGTCACATGTACCTTTGTTATCTTCAAATATGCCGTCGAACGCCAAGAAGGTGGCGCCACTTGCACAGGCTAATAAGAAAAGAAATATTGACGAAAGTGACGTCGTGTTTGTGTAAATAGGACATCATCATTCCAGTAATGCAGTGTATGTGGATTGTTTCTGAAATATGTTTTTCTAACAAAATTATTTCTGTTGACTATATTACTCATTGATATATAAATATGTCAGTAACCGTATCAAATATTATATGCAGTCGAATAATGTCTTCAAATGGACATTATGCGACATTGTGATGACGGGACATTCTGGAAAGGAAACACACTGTTTATTTACTACCTAATGAAATTGCAAGGTGAAAAAGATTTTATTCGAATATTTCACCTGTTTTAATTCTTATTAGTAGTGGCATGTAAAAACCCATTTCTAAATCTTCACGTTTTCTGTAAGTGACCTTATATTTTTTCAAACATGTGTAGTTGTTTGTTTCTAAAATTACAATTCTTTGCAAGATTACCATCGTTGCTCTTTGTTGGTTGATGACCCTGTAGATATAGCCCCACTCTTATGGTTTACACCTGTTGTAAGATTTAAGGACGTGTTAGGTTTTGGTGGTGGAGGAAAGCTGGAGTTCCCGGGGAAAACCACCTACCTACGGCAAGTACCTGGCGACCGCCCCAGGCCACATAGGCCTCGAATCCGCGACCCAGTAGTGGAGGAGGGCTAGTGCAGTGGCGGATCCAGAGGGGTTTTTTGGGCCTCAGGAAATCCCCCCACCCTGAGAATTTTCTTTAAAAATAATGTATTTTCACCATTTTCCTCAATTTTTCCCTACATGGAAACCCCCCCAGGAAATTTGGAAACCCCTCCCCAGATAGGTCTCTGGATCCGCCACTGTAGTGGTACTGGTAGCAGAATGTCAGACGCATACATACCAACTCCATTACACACATACATTACACACGTGTGAGAACTAAGACACTTAACCCAAATAAACTAACTAATAAAATCAAGACTCTTGTTTTACACTATCAATAAAAAATAGTCAAATTTTCAAACTGACTGATTATAATGATTATGAGATACATGCGCCCTTAAGTGCTATGTATTTCGTGTTCAAATAGTATCAGAGTAACAAACCTATTGAATAGTAATAGTATTATTATATATTTCTATCTACATGACAATGTATGAATCACTTTTTGTAATTCTGGAATATTAGATATGTTCATTAAGCAGAGTTGATTTGGACATGTATAGTAATATGTCAGATGGCATAGGTACAAACTGTAAGGTGTCCCTTGTTCTAACACAGAGCATAGGTATATTGTGTAATGTAGCATGCATCATAATTCTAACACAGATGACTGATAGAAACTAATATATTAACATACCATATGATCCAAAAACAAATATGTCGAAAACCGCATAAAAATCGGTCAGTCCAGAAACGTATTTATTATAACATACATGTAATATAAACGTCTCTGGTCAGTCCAATACCAAAATAAAATATTGACTCGTTCTAGTACTTATTATATTAAGCATAATCGTAACTCGCGGTTAATTGGACCCTATTAACTGTGACGTCATAAGTTCAACGACTGTAGCAGCCACCATAGGCGAGAGCGAGAATTGATAGGAGTTCTGAGCAATCAGATTATGCTGGAGATAATTTTATGTAGATGTTTTCAGTCATAAACAATATTCTAGAATTTTCAGACAGTGCCTTTAAAAGGGAAACACAGACTGGTAGCATCTCATATCGAGTGCTGACAGCAGGAGGCCCAGGGCACACCTTTCTACCTGTATCCACTATCCAGGTATGACAACAAAGGTATGTTAGCGGGTGGGCAAGGGGTACCTGAAGTTAGTAGGAAGATTGGCGTAGTTTATGTGTCTTCTAATTTTCCATTTAAAAATAACATCCTTAGGCTAGATGACGGGGACATGAATAAGGATCAATTTCAAGGAAAATATGCATAACTTAAATGCGTTAACACTGTCACAGAGTCACATGCAAACCATAATCAGTAATAATATTAATAACAATAATAATAATAATGCGAGGTTCGTATTATCACAACCTAGTTTGAAGGTCGTCTCAAAGCGGTTTACAAATTACTATCCGTGGTTATAGGGCCTTTGCAACCAGCCAATATCTTTCTCAACTCCCTGGGGAGTAACAGCATTCAACATTTGTAGCTCTGCCCAACCACGTACTCATTTACAGCTGAGTAGACTGGAACAAGCGGAGTAAAGTAGCTTGCTCAAAACAGTGCAGTCATTTCGGCGCTCACAGCTAGCATTCAACAATTCTAGTTCTGCCCAACCACGTGCTCATACAGCTGAGTAGACTGGAACAAGTCTTAAACAAGATTTAAAAGTATCTTGCTCAAAGATAAAACACAGTGCCGTGCCGTGAGCCAAACAGCAACCCTTCGGTCACGAGCCCGGCGTCCTACCACTAGACTACCGTGCCTTCTACGTACAAATGCATCACCCGACCGATAAAAGTCAGGAACGAAGCTAATACAATGCTGACAGTGGTTCAATGATACATTACTCGTATTTGTGAGACCTGAATGGACAGGTTCACCTTTTGCAAGATTCTTAAAATTGGTGTGTATATTTATCATCATCCTCGATATCCAGGGGTTACGCTCACTTTCGCTCTATGCACCCCTGGAATATGTCATAGCAAAATTGAAGGTTCGGTGTGCATCGCCTTGTGGATGAGACGAGAATGCTAGTTTGACCCTTTGATGTATATCAAAATAATATCGCGGTCGCGTAACGGTAAAACTTATTCGCTTTGAAGTCGGGTGTCGCTTCTCTGTAATCTTCAAAGGACATGTATCAGCCTAACGATTGGTCAGTTTTTATTACCTGAGACCAATCAAACAGATATCTTCGTGCCTTCAATTTTGCTATGACATATTCCAGGGGTGCATAGAGCGAAAGTGAGCGTAACTCCTGGAGTATCGACGATGATGTGTATTTGTTCACTTTCTAAAGTCACTGGATTGCATACAGAATACAAATATGGAAAGTATCCACTCACAATACCTCTATATGTAATGCAACTATACAAAACAACTTATGTCACAAATTTTACATACTTATTCACAATGTTTAATGTTGTTGTTTTTTATATCTGGGGGTGTGCCTAGCTATTCCATTGGTCTCGGATAAAAAAAATATCCTGACCTATTGCTAGGATGATACCTGACCTTTGAAGATTGCAGAGGAACGACACCCGACACAAGGTGGTGCACACTGAGCCTTCAATATTGCTATGATATCTGTCAAAATGTCTAAGTCTAGTGTCGGGACCAGAGGAAACTCGGGCTAATTCCAGAGGTACAGAGAGCAAAAGTGATCGTAACCCTGGAGTAACGAGGAGAGCCTCCTCAAGAGGAACTCATTTAAAGCAATGGGTAGACATCGACTTTGCAGACAAACTTTTCTTCCTCCATTATATTTACATATTTAATCGCTTCATATTTTATCCTGATATTGATACAGCACTCGCACCTGCAGAACGATCTTTTTCAGGGACGACAAGTATATTAAAACGGTGACATGGTTTTGCACCTACCTGAGTCGCCTGTTGGAGGTAAGTGCCTTTGAACAGTTATCTGAGGTTTTGAATTCGACCGGAGAGTTAGAGTACATGTACTTCAACACCAATTCACGAACTGTTGTTGTATGTCTCGGACAGCTACTGGAAGTATGTTAGGAACCTCGAGAAGAAACTACAGGTATTCTCTAAAACTGCGAAAAATACACTGCATGGCCAGATGGAGTTCCAAACGAGTCGCTGTGGAGGATGGCCAAATAGAAACCAGTCTTCATCGTGAAAGGCCGGACATTGGGATGGATAGAACAATACAAACGTATTGGTGGTCTTCATCATAGGCTGATGTTGGAAAACTTAAGGAAAGTTGCAACAAAATGTATTTTTGGGTTATCATAACGTTTACTCATGGCCATCTATATGGTAACAGGTAAACAAGGCCAATATGACGTCTACCAAACACACATTGTCGGCCTTTTACAAGGCCAAACGAACCCATTTCGAGACAAAAACCATATTCGAAGTCAAAAATTAACAAAAAAACACCGTCATACGACACTTGCATTTAAAAATGAACACATTCAAAGACAAGTTAAAAGTTGGTGGCTTTTTAAAATGTTTGTAATACAAGTGTAGGATTCAAAAACAGTTCTATTGACATTAGAAAAGACTTACATCCAGTAAGAATAGTCAAACGCTCACCTCCTTTAAACTTGACACAACCGTAAAAAATATAATATTAATGGTCAAATCCAAATATTTTAACAATGAAATGTGTTACCTTGTAAGACGGTCAAGGTCGATGTCATTTGACTATTTGTGGAAAAGGGTATTAGAGCACCCCATCCCAGTAGCTACTGGCCAAAATCATGACACATGTCCTACAGTTCATAACATTCATTTCAAGTAAAAGGTTAATGGTGTGAAGACGAAGATATACTCTCCACCACACTGTCTAGATCCACAGGCACCTAATGGTAAGTGAGCTACAAGTAATGTCATAAGACAAAATATGTACTGAAATTAAGCATTTGTTAGTCATTGAGGTGTTCTTAGTGACCTAATTAGGTACACACACACTCACGAGAGACCTAATTAGGTACACACACACTCACGAGAGGTCTAATTAGGTACACACACACTCACGCGAGACCTAATTAGGTACACACACACTCACGAGAGACCTAATTAGGTACACACACACTCACGAGAGACCTAATTAGGTACACACATACTCACGAGACATTGGTAAAAGTTGCCATCAAGACATCTTTTTGGTTTAACAGCTAACGCTGTATAATACTTTTAGGAGACAGTATCACTTAACTTTTTGTATTAGATCATGATATGAAGCTGTCAGTGATCTTATTCAAGCACACAACGCACACCATCTTTTGTAAGGATGCATGTTAAATATTCCAACGAAGGGGAGATAATTTGCTAATAATTTGAAAATAAACTACATAAATCATCTGCTATATGTTGATAAATTATGTATTAGGCCATCCCTTAATCAATTACAGGTATATGACAATGTTATTAATAGGCATATGGGTTAGCTTATTTGATAATTTCAAAATGTAGAATTGTACAAATATAATTGATCTTTATATTAATGCTACCGAAGACAGTAAATTATATCCATGGGACTCTCAACTTCAGTTTTTTTTCTCACATTTTTTCAAGGGATATTTCAAGGGGTGGATATTTAATCTTGTTTACAAACAAAAAACAATATTTTGACATCGTGTTTAAAATTTTATTCAACAATAGAATGCACAAAACTGTCAAAGTAACACATTATTAATACATATATGATACAAAAACTTATTGTAATTGATGATAACTACATCAACTTTGTAGTTAAAAGTATAAGGTACCAGGTGTACAATTCGCAGACCTCATTATTGCCTGTCTATAGCACAAAGTATCAAGATGTCTGCCAATATCTACTACACACAAAGGGTTTAGCAGACCCGATAGTACTCATAAAAACAATAAAAATGAAATGAAGTAGGATAGAAATACAATAAAAATTATATTATATTAATCTTGTGTTGCTTGTATTTCAGATATCTATACTCCCTTGAAAAAGCTTTAGTACAAATAACGTAAAATCAGTTACTTGGCTAATATATCTATTCATCCCATGTGAAGAAATCAATTATTTACAACTGTCCTTGTTATTTGTTCCTATCACAGATTGAAATCCTTGTTCAAAGCATTACCATATTTATACATACACATGTCGTGCAGTAAGCCCACCCCTATATTGCAGTTCACTGTAATGCCAACAAATCCTACTTCATTGCCCTGTAATAAACCTGCCATCTAATCCGAGTCAAGAGATTATGTACTGACCTCCTGGTCTTTTTGCAGGATAAATATGGTAATTTATATATTACTTTTCAAGATAGGCAATTGATTTATGGTTAACATTTAGTGATTATCAGAGGGCTTACAAAGTTGGGATTACAGAGGCTTGGCCTGCTTCCCAGTCATTATAGAGTAGTATCAAATACAATGATACCAAATAATAAATTCTGTAGTGTGCAGCATTAATTAAAAAATGTCAAATGTAATCTGGTAATATTAGGACATGTTGAACATAGTATTTAATACAGCTTACATGTTCAGCGGTTTTGAGTTACTATATTACATTTTGATGCAAATACATCATGGACAACAGAAACACACATAAATAACACAATTTTAAGAATCGGCTATTTGTTTCCAAACATATAAGATATCTTCATTATACTTACAATAGACATGTCATTTCACCACACCTCTACCAAATCATGCACACACAATTCATTTCTAAATGGTACATACATATATGACACACTTCATTTTATAGAGTTACAATGTATCACAGAGCATTTACCAATAGTTCAATTATATTTATATACATAAGCGACAGGGATATTGGATAAAATAATAAATAAAATAGATATCAACTCAAGGAAAACATCTTATTCTATACAGGTAAAAACCCATTTATACTTGCCATTCATTCTTTAACCTCTGCCCACACACATTAACCACCCTCCTTTATTACAAATTCTTAACTTCTCCATGATAACTCTACAAATATTCATTTATACAGTAATCAGTCCATTTGTCAATTAATTCAGCCATACTTCACACATTACACCATGCAGGTCTCATAATGATAAGGTAAAATAAATATACAAACTGGTATGCTTCTCTGTTCCTCAACATTCAAGTCTGACAGAAAACTCTGATGCTTAATGTTTTCTAGTTTATACAGGTTTCTACTTCTTGTTCTCAGGGTCCGTATTCATGAAACTGTTCTCATGCTCAAGCATGAATTTTGTGCTCAAGCCTTATTTCTTATTCTGGTTTTAAATTAATAAAAAAGTATTTTGTCAATGATTTTGAAAACAATTGAAATGACTTAAAGCCATCATTTACATCTGACTTTTTTATCATTTGACAGAACTTATGAGAGTTACAAGAAAATTGGTCGGAGCACAGAATCTGTGCTAGAGCATTAGCAACGGTTTCATGAATACAGGTCCAGGTCTATACAGGTTTATAGTTGCAGGTTCAGGGCACATTTTACGGTTCCAGTATCTTGCTACGACGAAATGCTGAGAGTTTGAATAATGAAGATCCTTTTTTTCTCTCAATGCAAAAAAAGAAACCCGCAAAGGTAACGAAAAAACATGTGCTTAAAATTTCACAAACACAATGGGGTTTAACACCAGGGCCTTTCTACAAACACTTCGTAAGAAGGTAAGTCAGAAGATTTCATCAGATGATCTTCTTATTTTAGGCAGTTTAAATTGAAGTGCTGATTTATAAATGAAGATTTTCTTATTGGTTACATGCATATATGTGCAATCAAGCACTGTCAATGTTTTTTTCAGAGAACTGTTAAGTCAGCCAATTTTAATAACATTGATGTTTTAATTTATTATAAAAACCAAAGTTAAAACAGAAATGTTACCTCAACACATTATTTAACCTAGTTCAGAAAGCAGCGGGAAGGTCTATATAACTATTATGTTTACTTGTTGTCCTGCATGCAGTTTGAAATCTTTGACCAAGCACTGTACTTGACCACTTGTTTTCATTTTAAATCCTTTACCCCAACTGAAACATGATGGTCTTTTGCATCCTTTGTTTCTGATGGTTGTGATGCTGCTGAGAATAGCCGTTTAAATGGATTACAGTCCTTCTTCTCACTTGACAGTTTCCTGCTGCAGAAGGTGGAAGTGGACAGTCCCAAAACCACCACCACTACAGCAAATGTCTTCAGATACCCTTCTGATATCTTTGGGAATGTCCTAGGAGAACCTTTTCCCTTTAAAGTAAAATGTCATTTTTTAAATGCTAATTTGACTATATCAGGATATAAAAAGTACATAAATCTGTCAATGTTATTACAATTTTGGCTGCAATATTCAACCCTACAAACATGAAATAAATCTAAAACAATGCTCCTGTTCAATCCACTTGATATCAAAGAGAATGTTTCCGTCAAAAACCTCCTCATTTTAATATGGAAATGATTCATTTTACATAAATTTTCTAGCTGAAAAAAAGCATATCTACAATAGCTGTATCAAAAAATCTCTGCTTTGAAAGTCGTAGAACCAGATTAATATGATCTTCCTTTAGTTTATTAGCTAGCTACTACCGCAAGAGGGAGCTTGTATATCATAACTAACATTTTTATGTCTCAATTTGATGGAAATGGCATCTACTGTACGTGAACACAGATCTTATCATTGACCAAACAACTTACCTGGATCTGAAGAAACGGAACGCCAGAGCGAGAAAGGGCCCGCTGGGTGCTTGTTAGAGATCTCTTTAGAGCAGCCATGTTGAGGCAGAGAAATCTCCCTTATAGATAGGGCTGAGTAACCTCCCTTGTTAATGAGCTTATCTTGCCTGAAAAATATGGAAAAAATAAAATATTCAAGTCTGATGATAGCGATGGCATTGTTCAATGGATATCTCTACAACAGAATAATAATTATGTTACAATGACATTTTATGTATAAAAAAAACAATAAATCCCATGTCGGATCTATTACTTTCAAAGCTTATTTTCTTGACTATCAAAATTGTCAAAAATTAGTTTGGCTTTATTTCTACTGTTTTAGCCCTGGGTACTGTTAGGTCAGGGTCACATAAATTGAACAGTTACACCAGTAAACAACTTGGTGTAGCAAAAGTTAAGTATTGGATATTACAGCATACAAAAATGTCTTTTGTTGAATATTTACAGATGAGTAGAATCGAGTACGCATTATTTTCAAAATGTTCACAAGTGCTATACTAAGAGATACTGTTAGTGGTTAATTGTGTTAACCCTGTTTTTGTATCAAAATATACAAAACAATTAAAAAATTGCGAAAAAAAATGAAACTCTGAAATGGCACGTGTTTTTGAATGAAACAGAGATCATGTTCGCATAAGGATAATACATTTTACGTGCATATAGGAGGTTTTTAAAAGAAAAGTTATCCATCTTTCCAACGGTACTAAAAAAAACCTAAAAAAACATCGGGGTGTAGAGCCAACGCCGTACTTCTGATCTAGGTTCTGAAGGTTCCGGTATCCCTTGCTTGGATACCCAGGGGTATGCAGGGCGATTGAGGAACGGGAAACTAAAGGCAATATTCAATCGCAACAAGCTCAGGATAGGTTGGTTTCTTTATTGTAAGTCTACGGGTTTTGCACGAACATGTGGGCTTTTTCAGGACAACTCATATATTTAATATAGATAGATAGACCTGCGAGAAAGCAGTTTGTGATTACATTCCAGACAAATGGGCACGGTTCAATTTATCAATTTATTTCTGAGGTGTCCTTGGCAACATTCGCGTATCCCGGTTGAAACGGTACGTGTGGCGCAGAAATTTTCCACGATAAACGAACACACTTGAACCGTTCTATAAGCAGAGCTAAAAATCCACAGTTTCGGAGAATAAAAAACAATGTACCAAGAATATTATGCCCTTCTCTCATGCGTCCACTAAATTACATAACGTATCTTAAAAATTACATGTGACTTGACATTGTTTAAGAAAGAAATAACGCAAATTGGCAATAGTCAGCATTTTAGTTTTGGTCAGGTACGTCTGGACCCCTCAATCTACACATACCAAATTTTCCTGAGGTCAGCCTCGGTCCATGTACCTGTCGTTTTCTTTACAGGTTCAACCGTTTCAACCGTATGCGCGAATGTAGCCTTAGTTTACCATACATGTAACTGTTATGGTTTATAAACAAGGAGGCCTCCGATTATAAATTGATAAATTGAACCGTGTCCCTGTGTTCCAGTTGACTATGTTAGTATGTAGTGTAGACTCGGTAGAGCAGCTCTTATAACCTCGAAAGTTGAAAACTAAAACAGGAATGTTCCCTCAAACTAGGTAGAGTGTCTCACACAACGAATGATCCCCAATCTGAACTTACTCAGTATAACGGTCACCCTAATCATTACCATTAAAACATGTTACAAACGTTTGCAACTTTGCATCTGTAATCTTAGTCAAGTATGCAGGTATGTACAGAGTTCAGCCGGTGAATACGTACAAATCCGAAATGTGGTGCAAAAACTGAATGAAGTTTTGAGGTCACATTTCTTGTGAATTATGTAACGCTGTATCCTATAATTTTACAACGCTGAAACAGAACATGACCAACCTTACCATCATCCGACCTTCCGATTTTGACCTTCCTTGTGAACCACGTTTTCCGTCGTACGCTTATTCGACCTTGACCGTCTAAACTCGGTTACGAAAATTAAAAGGTACTGTACAGTACTGTAGGGATCTCTGTTTTTGCGGTCGGCTATGATTATTTGAATCGCATATCTTTATGGATAGCCAATTGATGTTAATACAATCCGAAATCTGTCAAAATATTAGTAGAGTTCGCCGGGATTTACCGGAATGTTACGACATTGAAAATATGGAGATCGGTCTCGCCCAGACGTTTGTAACTAATGTCATGGTCGTCGAATAAGGTGTGATAGCCGAATATTTACTTTTTTAATATATATTGGATCTTATACAAGTGGAAGATGAACTGGTAAGCTATGAATGGGGTCAAAATGTTAGAAAACAGACGAATCTTACAAGAATCAAAGATAGCTTCTGTGCATGATACCGGCACCGCAACCTCTACCTCATATTTTATTTTGATAGGCTACAGAGCGACTGACAGTAAGAGTAACTGTGAGTCATGATTCAACGAAGTCATGCAAAAGATTTCGCGAACAATGATATCCTGCACAACGTTAATATCGGTTGCTGTAATGATAACATTTGCAGTTTTGACAATTTCATTGTTCGATGTTTTCGTTGGTCTGCGCTGTTCGCCCCTAGTACTCGGGCTACCGTCAGTCTGATGTCATTAATTGGGCTCCTAAAATAAGACTGTTTCAGAGACGTATATATATATAACTACATAGTTTATACGTCTCTGGACTGCTGCAGAGATCATGGTTCAACTTAGTAGTATCCTTTGATAAAAAAAAAAAAGACATACAATGTATATACATGATTGGATTTTTTTTGTGTGCGACAGATTGCAGTCGGTGTACAATTTTATTATTCACTTTAAAGTTGCGAGTTTGCCTTATGACCATATAATGGGAATGTCCTTATTTTCTAGAGTCTGTCTCTTATTTCAAGATTACTTTGTATGCTATGGTTGCATGAACCTCACCTATACAGCCACTTTATTTTGGGTGTTTTCTTGGTATATGTTTAAAATCAAATTTTATAACAAATGTAATGAAGAATGTTGAAAACAAAAACTGTTCAACTAACATTTTTTCATATAACAACAGATTGAGATACGTAAAAAAATTATATAAAAAGTGATATCCAAAATTTTGAGTTTTATTTATTAGGCCAAACAAAATATATGTCTGTTTTGGCTTCCAGACCGATTCTAGATAAATGCAAAAAAAAAAATGAAGGAAATAATGTTACTGAATAAACTCACTAGGTTGCAGGTTCGAGGTCTAAGTGGAGTGGTCTCCAGGAACTGGCTGCAAACAAAAAAGTTTTGTGTAGGAACTGCCTTGAAAGATAATAGGTTTTTAAATGGTCCAACCTATCATTATCAATAGATTATACTGCTAATTAATCACTGCACCCCAGATAAAGCAGTGACGTCATCAATTGTTATGACATCAAATTACCTCCAAACAAAGCATGACTTTTTGTCTTAAAAACCTGCATACTTGCCAACTTTTTGAAATTTCGATGGGGGAGATTCTGAACGTTAAAATTAAAACCTAAATAAAATTTGTGTATATATACCCCTTCGAGACAAAATAACCCTTTAAAAAATATATTTTTAAGTTGTTCTTTCAGATGAAACAATTAGATATTAGAATATAGGATTAGTTTAGCAAATTCACTGGTTGAAAATGCTAAATGCTAAATTTAAGGGTCCAAAATCAGGAGTCTCCCTCCTAAATAGGGAGGGTTGGCAAGTATGAAAAAGTATTTCTCAAGATTCTATTATGTCAATATTTATTATTTCTTAGTACTACATGTTAAAATCTTTTTTTACTTCCTCCACTTATAGTTAAGCACCTAATGATTTTCAAAAGATCTGTAATGCATTTACAATTGCATAGAAAGTATTCATTTGGTAACATATGAGTTTCCAGAGCAGGAACAAGAGCTTCAAAATAAAGTATGCTCTTATTAATTAACTGCTTTAGTTTTAACCTTTTTCATTAAATCCCATATTCACTATTATTATTCAGCAATATACGAGATCTCATTTAGTGCAGTAAATTTCCTCTGTGATCTCTGGACTCAACATAAAAAGATGTTTACAGACATTCAACCACTCTTCTGATATGTACATATTTGGCTTTTGTAACGTAACATTGCTCGATGTGCTCAAGACCAGATTTCTTACGAAAGCAATAGTATATATCTGTATTTTCTACCTGTCCCCTTTTTTGGCAATATTGTTTGAACTTAATTTGACAAAGAAAAATTATGAGCTTTCCTGTTTGACTGGATAAAATAAACAAATGTGTTATTACTGAAATATCAGTCAGTTGGATATGATAAGCTAATTATAAATATTTTTAATTAAATTTGAAAAAAATGGGACTATAAGTTACTACCTGAAATGAACTCATACAATTGATTCATACAATCAATACATGTAGCTTGAAGTTTTTACATGATCTAGCTGCTTTATCAATCTCTTACTACTGGTCCTCTGCCACCTTGCCAATACCTCATCTCATATACATGTGCAAGTAATGGAAAATTGGTTAAAAATCATAATTTATTATACGTTGGTTTGGTATAACGCAACCCAGGACGAGTTGCGCAATATCATCATGACCTCACAATCAAAGTCTTGTGAGCTTGATCCACTGCCTACAGACCTATTAAAGCAATGTCTTGAAGCACTGCTTCCTTTGATTACCTCAATCATGAACAAATCATTGGCTGAGTCAAAGGTTCCATTGTGTTTCAAGAAGGCACATGTTAGACCATGGTTAAAGAAGCCTGGAATGGACAAGGAGGACTTGAAGAACTATCGCCCAGTTTCATATCTGCCTTTTCTGTATAAGATCATGGAGAAGGTTGTGTCCCGCCTTTTAGAGGTTCATCTCCATGCAAACAGTCCATGACAACATGCAATCGGCCTACCGTATGGGACACTCTACTGAGACAGCTCTCCTATGTGTACATAGTGATATAGCTTCTGCATTGGATAACAAGTGCAGAGCGGTGCTTGTCATGCTGGACTTGTCAGCTGCATTTGACGTCATCGACCATGTCATACTTTATAAACGTCTGGAATACTCTTATGGAGTGACTGATACCGCACTATGCTGGATACAGTCATACCTGAGTGAACGATGACAGTGTGTTGCCATCGGATCTGCCACCTCACATGACAAAGTACTAGATTTCGGGGTTCCTCAAGGGTCGGTGTTAGGACCACGAAAATATTGTATGTACTCCAAACCGATTGGAGAGATTTGTCGTCGCCATAGCCTTCGCTATCATTGCTATGCTGATGACACACAAATTTACATGGTCATAAAACCACAGGACAGTTGGAATACAGTCTCAGAAAGTCTGGAAGCTTGTCTGACAGATATCAGTATCTGGATGAACGCCAACATGCTTAAACTTAATCAGGAAAAGACGGAACTAATCGTCTTTTCCCCAAAGTGTCAGCAAACAATGGCTCTCCAGCTCAAGGTTGGTGCCAGAACTATTGAGACTGTTCCAGCTGTTAAAAACCTAGGGGTATACTTTGACAGTTCTCTGAACATGGAGAAACAAGTGAACGCTATTGCCAAATCCTGTTACTACCAGATCAGGAACATCGGCTGTATTCGGCAGTTTCTAACTGCAGATGCATGCAAGATTTTGGTGCATTCACTTGTTACCTCTCGGTTGGATTATGGTAACGCCCTGCTCTGTGGTATATCTGACAAACTAACTAGTCGTCTGCAGAGGGTTCAGAACACTGCAGCACGGCTAGTTACTCCTACTCGAAAGAGAGAGCACATCAAACCTGCGCTTTATTTGTTGCACTGGTTACCTGTACGACACAGGTCGCAGTACAAAATTCTCGTATACACATACAAGGCACTGAATGGAACAGCTCCTCAGTACCTATAGGAACTTGTTACCCTGTATCAGCCGTCAAGATCACTGCGGTCGGAGTCAGAATCATTGTTGTGTGTCCCAAAATCTTGTACTGTGACCTACGGAAACAGATGCTTTGGGAGGGTTTCGGCTACGTTGTGGAATAGCTTACCATCTGCTATTAGGAAGTCAAATACCCTGGCCAAGTTCAAGAGGGACATAAAAACTCACCTCTTCACGTCTGCATTTTAGAATCTTTGCAAAGACGTCGTGTAAATACCACCCTTTTATGTGTTCAATTATGTGCCGCATTGCTTGTTAAATATATGAAAGTGATTGCAAGCCTTTGTTGTTTGTTTTCACAATTATAACCATTACTATTATCCATATGTTGTAAAGCGCCTTAGAGTAATTTTACAAATTATATAGGGCGCTATATAAATGCTGTATATTATTATTATTATTAATAAACATTTTGGAGAGTTTTCCACTGTGGCCCTGATTTGGAATTGTATGCATTGATCAAACATTCAGATTTCAATATCTTTTAACCAATATTTTATCATTCTAATTTTTCTAATCCAAACTAGAGGTAACCGTCCCAATTCAAGATATACTATGTTGTTATTGGCCGATTTTTTTTACTTTTAGTAATTTCTTACAAAAATGTAAATGTACATGTTCTATCTCTGGAGCTTTGTGCATACACCAAATTTCACTTGCATAGAAAAGGATACTGCTTACATATGTATCGAAATGGTGGAGCATAGTTTTTACATTTAAGTTTAATGATGAACACTTTGAAAATAATGCAAACATAGCTTTTCGTCCTTGGCTAGCTAATTGTATTTTGATAGAAGTGAATTTATTGTTGTAATTTCAAATAACACCTAGGTAAGGAAATTGATCCACACATTCAACTTTACTTCCTACATGTAATACTATTTTTATACGCCCGTCAAATTTGACGGGAGTATTATGGTATGGCGTTGTCCGTCCGGCGTAAACTTTTGTTTGTCCGGCAATCTTTTCCTTCATTTTTAACGGATCTCTTTGAAACTTGGTATACATTATAATAATGATATGAAGTTGTGTCTCCCTTATAAGAATTTTGATTTGAATTTTTTTCCAAAAGTAATTGCCCTTTGTTCATTTCAGTA